TCTCTTGTGTAGGATTCTCAAATTCTGGGAAAAGCTATCAGATCATACATAAGAATTTACGTTCAAGATGCATTGGGGAAAATGAAGCCTCAATTATTACACATAAAATGAGAAGCTACCAAGTGGAAAATGAAGTCCCATTGATGAGAAGCCACCAAATAGAAAAGCTACAACGTGTTAATACCGAAACACTTAATTTTTATCCAGGTCTGTCCTATTTTTCATCTTTAAGCTATTTGTTGATTTAGGGACTCTGGGCTGTAATGGAGAGACTGCCAGGAATGGAATCAGAAAAGTGTGAGTTTGAACCTGCTTTTGCAGTTTACTACTTGTGACCTTAGGCAAAAGCAATTTCCCACTCTGGGCCTCAGTTTCCTTATCTAGATAATGAAAGAGATTGGACTGAAATATCTCTATGGTCCCTTGTAGCTTTGAATCCCAGGTATAAATTGTCCTTTATTGTTTCTTCCTAAGAAAATGAGATTCTATCCAGAGAGCAGCAAGAATATAAAGGAACTACTCCCTTAATTTTGCTACAAAAAAAGAGAAAAACTTCCACTGTAGATAAACACAGAAACAAAATCATCATTTTAACTGTATTACTGCCATAAACTCAAAATATACGATGAAAGATAATAGAACAGTGCCCCAGTATGCTGACTTTTTTGAAAAGGCAAATTTTTAAAATAACTCCTGTGAGGCATAGTTAAGACAAATTAAAGACAAATCAGCAGAACCCATAAATTTCAAACTTATAGATTAAAAAATAGGGGACCCCTGGTGCTAGAATGTGTAAAATTAGGTGCTAAAAATTTTGCTTTGATTTTCAATCCATGGTGAGCAGATGGGTGCTGAGGTGATGATCATTTGGGGGAAGGGAGAGTTTGAATTTTTTTTTTTAAATTTCCTCCTCAAAAATAATGGGCAGGGAAACTCTTGTGAAGTATTCAAAGGACAAAAAAAATTGCTCTAATCGACTTAGGGTCATGTTACAATTGGGGCTCTTAACCATGTCCCTTGGGTTCATGGGATGGAATCTTAGAATAAATATCATATAAGAAACACAGCCTTGGCTGTCTCTGAATGCCTTATTATTGTAGACTTAGAGCTTACTGGAAACTAAGCTCCTGTTAATGAAAAATGTACTAAACGCAGCTACTATGCACAGGATTGTATGTGGAAAAAAAACAGAAGCACAATACCTGCTCTCCCATCTGTTTTCCAAGGGATTAGTAAGTGGGGGAAAACACACACACACACACACACACACACACACACACACACACACACACAGACATGCCACATTGGAGAGATTTCCCCAAAAATCCAAACATAGTCATATCCTTCCCAACTCCAGGAGGGTTATCTGGAGTGGATCCTTACTCTGCATATGTTCCCTTCTCTAAAGCATGTATATAATTCTTTAAAAGTTTTCAAAAAGCTTTCCTTGTGACAATCAGTGGGGGTGGAGAGCACAAGCATTTTTATTCTCTTTTTTATAGATAAGGAAACTAAATATCTGAAAGTTCAAGTGGTTGCCCCATAATCACATGGCCAGTAAGTGTCCGAAATGGGACTCAAGCCCTATCTTCTGATGCCAAGACTAGCTTTCTTCCTCCATGTTACAACTATATAGCCATGTTCACAGAGGGTGTACACATGTGGAAAGCACCCATTCGGATTTGTCCCAGGGTCACTAGCCCCTAAAATGGCTCCTGACCCATTCTTCTAGAGACAAACTATATTCTCTTCTAGGGATAGACTATAGCTCATGAACTTTCTGGATAATTTAGTTAGAAGTTCCTCACAGAAAAGAAGGGTAAAGTTGTAAAGGTTCCCACTTGGGACTCTGGCTTCAGCAGATATGCCAATTCTTTACAATCATCATAACAAACCAGACTTTACTAAAGCATGGAGAAAAGTTATTATCCTTTGGTTTTCACCTCCCAATTAAGCTGGGTCTGTTATGATGGTCCCATAGTTATTGAGGACTTATAGTATTACATAATCATAGCATAGAGGAGTAGAAGGCACTATGGAGATCAGCCAACCCCTTCATTTTAGAGGTGAGGAATTTTCTCTTTGTCTTTATTTATTCACTCCCCACTTATTTCTCAATCTTTTGAAATCTGGCTTCCAACTTTATCACTTCACTAAATTGCTCTTTTGTACATTACCATCAGGGATATGCTGGAGCCAGTTTGAACCAGCTCTAGAGAGCTGTTCATTGAATTTTTGGTGTGAACATTTACATCAGAACACTGAAGTCATTTGGTACATACTTGGAGATCCGAGCCCATATGCATTGGAGGTGCCCCAATGCATCATGTTGAGGGGGAAGGGTTCTTGCTTTCCTCTGCTGTTTTTTTTACTCTTATCCCCAGGAATCCTGGCACAGAGAGGAAGTGGGCCTCAAAGTCAGTAAGCTTCAATTACAATCCCTGACACAAACTAGACAATTTATTTAACATCTCAGTGCCTTGGGCAACTCTCTTAAGATTATAAACTGTAGAACCATGGCCGAGCTTCATTCATCATCAGGAGTGCCCTATGAAATAAGTTCCCCACCCCAACCCCCCAAAAAATATTTCCAGGCCCTAGCACAGTACCTTGTACATAGAAAGTACTTAATAAATGTTTGTTCCCCAGAATAATACAATATCTGCCTCAGGGAAATGTGCAGCAGGGTTCGATATATTGTTCTGATCTAATTCTTACTAGAAAAAGAAGGTAGATAGAAAAGCAGATTATCCAGATTGTGACATGCAATGTGATGAGTATTCCGTTCAGTTTACATAACAATAATAGCTAAAATTTATCTAGCACTTTAAAGTTTGCAAAGTACTTTACCAGTTTTATCTCATTTTATCTTCACAACAATCCTGAGAAGTAGATGCTATTTTAACCTCCATTTTACAGTTGAGGAAACTAAGGATGAGGTTAAAGGACTTGACCAGGGTCACATAGCTTGGAAGTATCTGAAGCCAGGTTCCAAATCCAACGCTCTATCCTCTGCACCACTTAGCTGCATCATTAATGTGTGTGTGTTTGTGTATCTTGAATGGGTACTACAAACAGACACCCTGACCCCAGAACTGAGTAGAAAAAAATCAAACTGATTTGGAATGGAAAAATTGCACAGTGCTTTCACTAATAACAAATTTTTTATGGTCACAGAATTCCATTTCTTTGACATCAGTATTTTCCTATTGATATTACATGGCTAAAACCATAGGTCATCACCTCAGAAGAATCAACACAACAAGTAACCCAACAGAAAATGGAAAGAGTATAGTAGGCATAGGACCATACCATGCTACCACAGTTGACTTGAAGTTGAGAAGGAGTAGCATTAAAGATATTATCAAGGTCATATATAGATGGAAAAAGAAGGCTGAGGCAGTAGATGAATAGTCTGAGCTGTTCATTGGTACCTCCAAAATATTAAGAGAATAAGATTGAGTGCCCAACACATTGGATAGAGGATTTGGGGAAAACCAAAGAAAATTGTTTAGTATGAAAAAGTCCAGAAAGGCTGTGATCTAGCATTGTGACCTTTAGAGTGTTATATAAATGGTACTGTAGGTGAGTGATCATTATTATGATCAAATCATGGCTCCTTCAAGGGGTCTAGGTTATATTTTCAGTTATTTCATTGGTTAAGATGAAATCACCAGTAAGAAATATTAGTAATTGATAACCAAAAAAACAAAAACAAAAACCAACCCATCAAAACAGGAACTAGCAAATTATCAAACTTTTTACTCCCCCTCTTTTTTTTAATGTTTGAGATAAATAAAGCTTTGTCAGCAGGACAGTTTTCCCTACAACAAGCGAGCAAGTGAATAACCAGATAAAAATTAATATTGGTTAAGTTAAGGAAACCGGGATTCATAGAAAGGAAGTGAATTGCCCAAGATTGCATGGCAAATAATTGCTAGAATTGGGACTTGCCCTTAGATCATCTGTCTCTACATCCAATATTCTTTCCAAGTAGGAAGCCCCAGGTAAATATCTAGGGGCTCTTGAGTCAAGGAAGATATCTTTACAAAGTTTACCTCAGGAAGAGAGTATGGAATCTAAATTTCTGTCAGTAGTCTTCACTGCCTACTAAGAACCCAAGATTTGTACCACTGGCTGACAAACTACAGATAAATTTGCAATATGTCTATTAATTTTTTAAAAAAAGAGAAAATCCTCACACAGTAATACTCCATGGAGCTAAATGCTTTTCATGCTTCGTTACATAGAATTGAAGAGTACAAAGCACTACACTGGCTTGAACACATCCAAAAATAAGGCTGTCATTTGTTCTGTCTACAATGGAATACCTGAAATATATGTTGATGACCCAGTTGGGAACCAAGATCGAGGTACAGTGTCTTCTTTTGTCCAGAATTAATATTGATGTGATGATTGATTTCACATACTTCCTCTCTAAAAAAAAATATTGACTTGCAAAAATTGGATCACTTACTAGTCTTCCTATTTCACAAATAACCCAGTATCACTCAAGTATGGTACTTTACACCATGGAAAATCACAAAGCAAGTCAAAGTTTATGCTTCTTAAGAAATGCTGTCTATGATTATTAAACACATTAAAAGATTTTACCAGCCCTTTTGTTCTCTAACCACAAAAAAGGTGAAATGACACCTTTTGTCCAGAATTGACATTGCTATCACTGCTGATTTCCTGCCACCAAAATCTACAAACTCATAAAATTTGGATCATCTATTCAACATATACTCAACACTATGACCAGCAGCTTCAAGCACTTAAAATGAAAATGATATCAGTTCTATGAGCTTTTCCATATTTCAATAACAACTAAGTGTTTAAGAGACACATGGGTAAATCTTATGTGTATTATTAAAGGGCCATTTCCAAATTTCACTCTGTGATTCTCAGAACCATAAAAGCTTTCTCTTAATTACTGGCACCCATGATTTTGGAAGGGCCTTTCCCAATGCTTTCCCATGGAACTGAAAGCTAAAATTTTGATTAATCACTAAAAGGTGTTGTGTTTTTGTTTTTTTTTCAAATTCTCTTTCAGGTTCACTATCGGTAGACTTCTTCACCTATAGAACTTCAAATGAAGGTAAAACACATAATATGTAGGGAAAGGAAATTTCAATGCTTTTATTTTATTCCTTCAGATATTTAAATTATTCTTCATCTCTTTAGAGAGTACTTGGTAATTGAATCTATACAATTGTGTACTTTGGGAAGTTGATCCTCAGATATTTTATGCATTTTATAGTTATTTCAAATGGGATTTCCCTTTCTACTATTGCTTCTTGGGATTTTTATATTATATATTATATTTTTGTTATTTACTTATAAAATATTATATATTTTATTATTTATTATACATTATGTTATATAGAAGTGCGATTGGCTTTTGAGAATTTGTTTTGCAGCCTTGAACTTTGTTGAAACAAAATTGTCTCAGTGTCTGCTCATTCCCTAGGAGTTTCCAAGTAAACTACATATCATCAACCAACAAGGACAGTTTTATCTCCTCTTTACCTATATTTATTCCTTTAATTTCATTCTCTTATCTTACTACTATTCCTTGCATTTCCAGAACTATATCAAATAATAGTGGGGAGAGTGAGTGTCCTTGCTTCACTCCTGTATTAATTGGAAAAGGTTCTTTGTTGTTGTTCAGTCATTTCATTTGTGTCCCACTTTTTGTGACCCTGTTTGGGTTTGTTTATTTGTTTGTTTTTTAAGCAAAGATACTGTAGTGGTTTGCCATTTCCTTCTCCAGCTCATTTTACAGATGAGGAAACTAAGGCAAATAGGGTTAAGTGACTTGCCCAGGGTCACATAGCCAGTGTCTGAGGCCAAATTTGAACTTACTGATTCTAGGTCCAGCACTCAATCCCCTGTGCCACCTCGCTGCCTGAGTTGTTGTGATCCCCATTAAATATGATGCTTACTTTTGATTTTAGATAGATGCTTTTTATAATATTTTTTAAAAGTTCCTCTATGCCTATAGTGTTTTTATTTTAAAAAAAAAATACAGTAAGCTTTGGGTAAAGATAAATCTGAAAGATCTCCTTGAAAGAAAAGGTATAAAGTGACAGGTGTGGATATGCCCATGATAGGAGGTGTCTCTGCAGCTGAGACACCATACTAAGCCTACTCAGTAGCACCGCCCAGAGCCAGACCCAGAAATGGTTGAAATAGAGAGGATGGGAAGCATAAACATATTCTCTTCCCTTTCTGTCCTTCCCCACCACCACAAGGTACATACTGGACATCTTTATGTATTGTCAAAATAAAGTCATTTATGAAACCATAGAAATTTAGCCTTAAAGGGACCCTAATCACAAAAGCATTTTCCCCATAGTAACCCTGGAGCATTATTAGGTAACAATGTTATAATCACTAGTATTTACCTAGTGCTTTAAGCTTTACAAAGAGTTTTACCTGCATTATCTCATTTGCTCCTCACAACAACCCAGTGAGGTAGGTGTTATTTGTTTTTTTACAGATGAAGATACTGAGGTTGAGTGAGGTTAAGCAACTCTTGACCAAAGTGACACAGCTAATGGGTGTCTGAAGCAAGATTCTAACTCATGTCTTCCTGATTCCAAGTCCAACACCCTACCCACTGTGCCAATATTTTTACCCATCTTCTGTAGACGAAGTAATTAAGATGCTCAGATGCGCTCAGTTGCCCAAGGTCACACAGCTAGGACTTGGAAGTGTTGCAGCCCAAACTCAAACTTGGGTCTTCCAACTCCAAATCCAACACTAGTTCCTGAAATGATCATTTTACAGTAGGGTCAGAAGCCTTTACTCGGAAAAATGTAGTTTTTGAAGGGGGAGAGGAGAGTAGTGATGGGAGGTATAAAAGAATTTTCACACTGAATTCAGCACTCTAATGCAATGTTCCAGAGTCATGTGGTTGTTTTCAATGTCTCTCCATTTTTTTTCCTAGTAGATTTAATTCACTAAAATAAAATATGTTACAATTCTTAAATCTATGTTAACATTGCTATTTTTTTTTATGTCTCTGTGCCAAAGACAATTTGTCCTCCTCAGTGGTGGGCCTGAAACTTCGGCATTCTGACACGGATTTCCAGGTGCTTGCCAATGACAAGAATATTGAGGTAACAGAAATATGTTCCTAGTGCCAATCATGCTACATATGTTCCAACAAGATCAATTTTCTGTTATCTGTGCTACAAGGGGTGGGGAATTGCAATAGAAGGCATTATTCGAAAAGCTTTTGCATTTAGTTTCCAAATAATCAAAACTCACATCTTAACAGTACGTTAAGCTTTGCTTAAGTATTGGTGACACAATGGATAGAGCTCTGGACCTGGACTTAGGAAGATCTGAGTTCAAAATCAGCCTCAGAAATTAGCTATATGACCCTGGGTAGGTCATTTAACCTCATCTACCTCAGTTTCCTCAACCATAAAATGGAGATAATAATAGCACCAATCTCCAGAATTGGTTGTGAGGATCAAATGAGATAATATTTGTAAAGCACTTAGCACACTGTCTGGCACATAGTATGAATTTAATAAATGTTTGTTTCTTTCCTCATAACAACCCCATGAGGGATGTATTGTAAGACTATTAAGCCCCACAGATGAGTTGTAGAAAGGTTTAATCAATACAATTTTATCTAAATGTAAAAACAAAAGATACCAACAAAAGTTTATTTTTTTTTTAAACAGTTCCATTAATGACACAACTCACTTGGGGTGACATAGCTTGTTGTGGTTGTTGTTCAGTCATTTTCAGTCATGTCTGGCTTTTCATGACCCCTTTTGGGGTTGTCTTGGCAAAGATACTGGAGTGGTTTGCCATTTCCTTCTCCAGCTCATTTTACAGTGAGGAACTGAGGCAAATAGGGTTAAGTGACTTGCCCAGGGTCACACAGTAAGTGCTGGAACTAGGACTTGAATCTTGTCATCTTTTGACTATAAAGCCAGTGTTCCACTATACCCAATGGTACTACCATACCATCTTAATTACGATTTTTTTTTAGCTAACATTAAAATCAAGTTTGAAATCCTGAGCACACATCAGTGAAAGCGGCCTGGAAGCCTCTTTGGTAGAGTCATTAAGAATTTTCCATAGATGCTCATGTATTATTTATAACCTAATGACCAACTCTGGATAAATAAATAGACTTTTGGAGTTTCTTTTTTCTTTCTTTTTTTTAATCAGAGAAAAACATTTAGAGTAGTAGACCATTTGAACTGGAAAAGATCTTATACATCACCTAGTATAATGCCCAAATTTTATATAAAAGGAAATTAAAGCCCAAAGAAGTTTATTATCAGTTTGTCCAATTATATTGATTTGATTGCTACATCTCATACAGAAGAATTTGGGGTCTGAATTAAAGTCTTTTGATAGCGAATGCAAGATGAACAAATGGTCATCCATTCTCCCTAGAAGATCTTCATGGAGCGGAACTGATTACCTCTTGAGGGAGCCCATTCTCTCTTGGGACAACTCAAGTGGTTAGAGAGCTGTTCCTTATTTTGAGCTGAAATTTACTGCTCTGTAACTTTTCTGCCTTTCCTAACACAGAGACTGTGAAATATTACCCAGCATACATGAAAAGTCAGTGAATGTCACTAATCAGCTATCAGTGACTCTCAGCAAATCCCTCTTCTTTCAGTTTCCCATCTACCTCTTCCACACTCTCCTTCCTCAGTAAGTGAGCCATGAATAATGAAAGAGGACTGAAGGAAAGCATTCTTTTGGTTTCTAAGATTTTCTGGTAAATATAGCTCCTCTGTTAACTTAATGTGTCTGATCTCTCTTCTGCTCCCATTACATTCTACCTTACCTTTACGTGGATTTATGTATATTTTATCCTCCCTCTTCCACTAGATTATTGGCTCCCTGAGGGCAAGAACCACGTTATTTTTCATGTTTGATCCTGGAGATAAGGACAATATAGATATAGATTTGGATAGAGTATAATCCTTTTCCTGAAGGAGTTCAATGACTGGTAGGGGAGATAAAATGGGGACACAGATAAATAAATAAATTAGAATATGATGAATGGACTACTCTTTGTCCACCAAACATGCCATGGACTTTTATGTTTCATTGCCTTTACTTATACTGTTGCTTATTCTTGGAATCATGGAATGTCTCTCCCCCTCCC